GAGTGAGAGACTCAAATGCAAGTCTGGAAACTGTGTACGGGGCAGGGGCGTGGCCAATGCCCCTGAGCTAGTCCCCGGCTTTGTTGCTGTTTCGCAACTTCTCTTTTCACTCCTCGCTGCAGCACCTCCCCCACTTCCTCTTCAACACTCGACTGAACTTCCGCCAATTCTGCGGCACTCTGAGAACCGAGAGGTCACATTTCAAACAATCTAAATCAACTATGAAGCAGAAGCACACGTTTTAAATCTGATGCTCCCTTAAGGTCTATCCTAGTTTTTTCTCAGGACGTATCGTCAGCGAACCAGAGCCTAAAAACAAGAGCAATCCGGTCCACTTCTTCAAAAATTCTTAAATCGCGTTTCCAATGTGAATCCTATACTAGTAAAAGATTTTCAGAGGCCACACAAAGCGTCGAAGCGGTATGTTGCCCATAGTGATTGGGGAAAGGGGAGAGACAACCGTCCCGCACGTCGCAGTTCTGAACTCATCTCCTAATGAGTCGTCTCCGCTGGTGCTTTAAAGTTGTTCGTTTCCGTTTCGGCACACTTGTCGCGCCCGCTCGCAGCAAGGAAGACGCGACAACAGGAGTCCTTCTGACCGTGCTTTATGGGGGATTTCTTAGGCTACATTTTGCGGAAGACCCAGAAAAGGGGAAGGGCAGTTTCTTATATACACTGCAAAGCAGGAAACTCATATCATTGGTTACATTCGACACACAGGCGCAGAACTTGTTTACCAGCGGGAGAAGCAAGGGCGAGGCACCGGATATCAGCGCCATATTTTAATGGCGTTGTCACCGCGCCCCACAGCGGGGCCTGTTGCGTGGCTCGGGTCTGTACACACAGAGGTGCCCCGAGAGAGTTGGGAGCCTGGTGCCGCATCTGCTATAGGCTCACCGCTAGCTGGCGTAGGCTATCTCTGGGCTGGTGTCCGAGGGTCTCTCCACCCGCTGGGGAGCCCACCAGCAATCCCAAATGCAGGGGAGGGGAAAGGTGACTTATCCACCTACCCTTCCCGCTGGTCTCCAGGCTGCTCTGACGGTCTCAGCTTTCAGTTCTCCTCTGCAGCCTCCTGGAGTCTCCCGGGGTCTCAGGTACCCCTCCTTCCGGCCCTCGTCCGCTGTATGCTCGTCTTCTTGCTTCTTTTTTCTAATTTCTGCTAGAATCTGTCTTTTCTGCAAAGACACTGTGTCTGGCAGTGTTTCTCGTCCACCATCTTCTGCTATTCCTTTTTTGTATCCTTTTGCATGGAACATGTTTTTCCATCCTTTTGTTTTTAGTTTGTGTTTGTCTTTACAGGTTAAGTGTGTTTCTTGTGCAGTATTCAACTTTAAGACAGTGTGGAACAAAAGTCAAATATATATCAGCCATATATATATTGCCCATAAAACTTTCTATGAGTTTGCCTGTATAAATATTACTCCTATTTTGTTAATGAATTGTCCTTTTTTCCTTGGTTGGTGGTTAATTTTTATTTTATCCTGTCTAGGTGAGTAGTCATGAAATTGTCTTAATGCCAAAATGTCTTTATTGGTAAATATATATTATCTTTTTGGGAAATATTTGTGATTTGAAGATAATTTTTGAAAAGTTTCACAACTCTTTTTGGTAATATTGTTTATTTTTCTTTGTAAAAAACACATAACATGGAATTTATGGTCTGAAATATTTTAATTATACAGCTCAGTCATGTTAAGTATATTGACATTGTTATGCAACACGCACCTCTAGAACATTTTTATCTTGCAAAACTAAAACTAAATATGCATGAAACAACTACCCATTTTTCCTATTGTCTTGTTCTTTACAAACACAATTCTATTTTTCTTAAATGTACTAGATATTTTATATAAGTGAGTTCATACTGTATCTGTTTTTTGGGGGTGGGGTGGCTTATATTATTTAGCATAATGTCAAAATTATCTTATTGTAGATGTTAGATTTCCTGCTTTTTAAAAGCTGAGGAACGCTTCATTATTTTTATATACAAAATTATATTTATTTATTATGTGAGAGAAAATTGTATTGGCTTTTGTGAATAATGCTACAGTAAATATGGATGTGCAAATAACTCTTCATTTGACCATATATGTGAGGGTTTTATATCTGTCCTACATTCCATTTTATTTGCCTACTTTCTACTTTTATGTTAGTATCAAACTGATTTGATTACCCTACATATATAACATGTCTTGAAATCAAATGTGATGCCTCCAACATTGTTCCTATTTTTTAAGACTGTTGAACTATTTATGGTTCCCTGACATTCCGGATAAATTTTGAATTGCTTTTTTTATTTCTGAAAAAAAAAATGACATTAAGAATTTATAAGGGCCTACATTGAATCATTTGGGGCAGTATGGATAACTTCCTAATATTAAGTCTCCTAATTCTCAAGAGCATGCTCAAGAGTGTATCATTTAATTACCATTTATTTGTGGATTTTCCAGTTTTCCTTCTGTTATTGATTTCTAGTTTCATCCCTTTTAGTCATAAAAGTCTATAATATTTTAATTTTTAAAAATTTTCAAAAAAGCTTATTTTGTTGCCTAACAGGTGCTCTATCCCGGAGATTTTTTTATGATCTCTTTGTGTATTCTACTAGTGTATTCTGATTGTGTCTTCTGCTACTGTTGTGTAGAGTATTCTCTATTTGTCTATTAGGTATAATTTTTATACTGCTTTCAAGTCCTCTGTTCCTCATTAATATTGTGTAATATTGCTTTATTATTCATTACTGATATTGGGGCATTGAGGTATCCTACTGTTATTATATTGCTGTATATTATTACTTGCTTCAGTTTTGTCAATGTTTGCTTTATGTATTTATCAACTCTAATTACACACACACACAGAATAAATCACAGGTTCCCAGTGAATGAATCTTTATATTATTATTTAATATCGTCTTTTGTGACAGTTTTGATGTAAAGTATATTTTATGATATAGGACAGTTTTTGCCTCAGAATATATTGTGCCTAACTGGACTTTCGTCTTCTCTCATTCAGTTAGCATTTGCATGGAATGTATTTCTGTCCAGCCACTTTCAGTTCATTTTTTTCTTTAGATCTAAGGTGAGTCTCTTGTAGATAGTATGTATATAGATCTTGATTTTGTTTACCTTTATTCAATTTATATCTTTTGATTGGGAAGTTTAGTTCATATCATTGAATTTTGTAGTAATAGGTTTGACTCCTTTCTTATTTTATTATTAATACTTTAGTGTATCTCTATAGGTATTTTCATTGTGGTTACCATGAGGATTACAGAAAAAAACTCTTATAGTTACAATATATTTTAAACTGTTAACAACTTAAATTAGTTGCATGCAAAAATTCTTCCTCATTATATCTGCTCTCAACTTTGTTATTGATATCACTATATCTTGTTATATACCCATTAACTGTGGTTGATGATTATTTTTACATCTTTGTCTTCAAATTTTAGAGCATGAGTAAAAGTGTTTTCTGAACCATATTATAATACTACAGAATTTTTTTTAGGTGCATATCTTTGTCAGAGAGTTATTTACTTTCATATAATTTTGTGTTGTTTTCTTGCATTATTTTATATTTAATGAAAGGGGCTCCCTTAGGCATTTCTTGTGGGGCAGATCTAGTGGTGATAGACTTTTTTAGCATCTAGTTTATCTTTGAATGTTTTTATTTTTTCATTATTTGGAAGGGGAGTTTTGCTGGATATAGGAATTCCACTATGATGTTTTATGTTTTGTTTTATTTTTCAGCATTTTGACTATTAGGTGATATAGGTGAAAAACGTTAGGTGATGGTATACAAAGTTTCTGTTGATAAATTCACCAGTCATCTCATAGGATCGTGCTTATAGATGACACATCACTTGTCTTTTGCTGCTTTCAAGGTTCTTTTCTTGTGTGTGATTTTCAAAACTTTTCTTATAATCTGTCTTGTTATGGTTCCCTTTATGTTTATCCTAGCTGATGTATGTTGAGCTTCTTGATTTTTTTGTATGTCTTTTTTCTTACATTTGAGAATTTCTCAGTCATTTATTATTATATTTTTCAGCTTCATGATTTGTTTATTTTTATACATTTTTATTGATAGTCTCACTTTCCTGGTTTCATTTAGTTGTCTGTGTTGTTCCCACTTCACTCCTTGAGTGAAAATTCCCACGGTTATTTTCAATTTTTCATGTAATTTATACATCTCCATTTTTACAATTTATTTCTGATTATTTTGTTTCTTTGATTGGCCTGTGTTACCCAGATAATTAGTATATGTTGTAATCTGTGGGTTAGATTTGGAGATTTAAAAAAAGTCACCTGTCACAACCTTTGTAAAGTGGCTTTGTCCTTGGAGAACCTGACACAAATCGACTGAACTAGGGATTGTGGGAGCCACGCAAATCTGTCCTCAGGATGTTTCTTCTGTGGAATTGTGTGTTTGTTTTCCAGTTAATGAGATTTCTTGAAGTTTCTTTTTAAAAACCAGTAATCAGTTACTACACCAGCTGTCTGTCTGTGATGCTGAAATTTCTCTGCTGCTGTAACAATCATTTACTTTTGGTTTCAGCACACCTAGATTGTTTTCCAAAGTACAGCAATATTCCTTTCAGCAACTGCGTGTCATGGGAAACAGAAACCAGTGTTTGTAAAGGCCCACAAAAGACAGAAGTATGGACATGTCCCACTATTTTTTCTATTTTGTGGAAGAAGCCAGAAGTTGGGAGTTTACTCCTATATGCACCATGCTGTATTAAGGAGGAGGAAGGGCTATGATGGGTAAATGTGACAATTTTCCCCTTGTACTTCACCTGGAGTGCTGCAAACTGATAGGGTGTCTGTAATTCTCAGATAGGCAATTTTGTCAGTATGTTTTTGTTACTTGTGTATCTATAAAGTAATTAGGGCCTATGGTATTTTATTATGCCATATTTCTAATGTGCTTAGTATAATTTTATATATGATTTTAATGTATATACTTCTGTGTCTAAAGAAACTTGCTATTTTTATTTATTTCAGCTATGTCTTCTGATTATACTCAAGACCATTTGCCAGAGCATGGCATAAAATCTTCAATTCAGAAAGTGATACTGAGAAGATATATAAGCTGTGCCTTTCAGAATTTAAACTTAAGGAAAGACTGGGAAAATGTGGGTGAGTGTAAGGGGCAAAATGAATGTTATAATGGAATTAAAGAATTTTCAACATCTACCCATAGAAAAAACTTCCAATGTAATGAATGTATGAAAGTCTTTGGAAAATTGTCAATTCTAAATAGACACAATTTAAGACCAACTGTAGAGAAGAAAGCTTACAAATGTAAAAATGTGGAAAAGCCTTTAACCAGTGCTCACACTTTACCGAACATAAGAGAATTCATACTGGAAAGAAGTCTTACAAATGTAATGAATGTAGCAAAGTCTATAAATCTTGCTCAAACCTTTCTCAACATAAGAAAATTCATACTGGAGAAAACCCCCACAAATGTGAAGAATGTGGCAAAGCATTTAACATGTGTTCAAAGCTTTCTAGACATAAGGTAATTCATACCATAATAATAATACCATACCATAATACCATACCATATAATCTTACAAATGTGAAGAATGTGGCAGAGCCTTTAAACAGTGCTTGAATCTTTATAGACATAAGAAAATTAATTCCAGATAGAAACTATGCAAATATAAAGATATTGGCAAAGTATTTCCCCAGTGCTCTTACCTTACCATATATGAGAGAATACATTTAAGTTTAAAATGAGAAGAATTTTTTTTGGAGAGTTGTAATTATATTCAAAGAAAACTTGTTTTGCATTAAAAGAATTTTGTTTTATTTTTTATTTATTTTTATATTTATTTATTTGTTTTTGAGTCAAAGTCTCACTCTGTTGCCTGTGCTGCAGTGCTGGGGCGTCAGCCTAGCTCACAGCAACCTCAAACTCTTGGGCTCAAGCAATCCTTCTGCCTCAGCCTCCCAAGTAGCTGATACTACAGGCATGTGCTACCATGCCGGACTAATTTTTTTCTATGTATTTTTAGTTGACCAATTAATTTCTTTCTATTTTTTTTTAGTAGAGACAGGGTCTCGCTCTTGCTAAGGCTGGTTTTGAACTCCTGACCTTGAGCCATCCATCAGCCTCAGCCTCCCAGAGTGCTAGGATTATAGGCATGAGCCACCACACCCGGACCCGCATTAAAAAGAGCCTAAGACATATATTATAAAGACGTCTGCACCCGAATGTTTATGGCAGCACAATTCACTATTGCAAGGACATGGAAATAACCCAAGTCCCTGTCAATTCATGAATGGATAATTAAAATTTGGTATACGTTCACAATGGAATATAACTCAATTCTAAGAAATGACAGCGAGCTAGCACCGCTTATACTATCCTGGATTAAGCTTAAACCCATTATCCAAATGAGGCGACACAAGATTAAGAAAATGGGCTCCACATGTTCTCGCCATCAAATTGGTACTGACTGATTAAAACTATGGTGCTCAAATGTTGGTGGTAATGTTCACCAGGGACATCTTAGGGATGTGGTGAGCATTGTGGAGGGGAAGGGCATACCTCTAACCCTTGCTAGGGAGAGGCAAAGATATAAAATGTAACCAAAATGTAAAAAAAAAAAAAAAAACCATTATTGGGTGTCGTGGAGGTGGGAGGAGGGGGTGGATGTATACTTACATAATGAGTGCGATGCCCTCCACCTGCAGGATGGGCTAGAAGCTCTGACTGGGCGGCGGGGTGGCAAGGGAAATATATATATGTAACCTTAACAATATTTGTACCCCCATAATATGATGAAATAAAAAAAGAATTTTAGACTTTATAAATTAAATATTGATGGTCTTCAACTCTCAAATTACTTGATACTATCCCTTTATTCCTAGAGTTTCTGTGAAAGCATCTAGCAGTTTTTGCTACATCAAATCTATGAAAGTTTCTTCTGAATTTGGTGGGCATCATTGATATACTCTTCCAAGGAAAATTAAGGACACTGAAATGTTAGATGCCTGACAAACTCTAAATGGAGAGGCTCTTTGTGATTGACTAGTGATGTATGAGATAGAATATTTTCCTGCATTACAGTAAGAGAGAAAGATTTTGAATTTTAGAATTAAATTGTTTTACCAAGTGCATATGAAGGTAATAAAATACAATAGATTTTGTAATGCGTCTTTTTAGTCTATGTATGAACTTAATTTGTTTTGATGAAAAAAGTTAATGTGTTGACTGTTAAGCATTGAATGAAGTGTTAACCTTCCACTTTCATTAAACTAGCCCACCTTTTTCTTTATTTTTTTTTTTTAAGTAGACATTATTTTCTTAGGTTCATGGCAAAATTGGTCAGAAGATACAGAGATTTCCCACATACCCCCTGCCTCCCACTTGCATAGCCTCCCCCATTATTAACACCCCTCACCAGAGTGGTACATTTGTTATAATGAGCCTGCACTGATTCGTCATTATCTCCCAAAGTCCACAGTTTACACTAGGGCTCACTCTTAGTGTTGCACATGCTATGGGTTGGACGTGTGTAATGATATTCCCCCACCATACGGCATTGGACAGAGTGGTTTAGTGCCCTGAAAGTCCTCTGTGCTCTAGTAGCCCATCCCCCCTCCCCTCTAACTACAGATCTTTTTTACTGTCTCCATAATTTTGCCTTTTACAGAAGGTCATATGATTGCAATCAAACAGTATGTAGCCTTCTTAGACTGACTTCTTTCACTTAGCAATATGCACTTGGCTCACCTTTTTCAAGGTTGTAGGTAACTCATAGTAACAATATACTATTGAGTAACATAGTAGAATAACATTTTTAACAATCTTTATTCCAATAGGCTTTAAACTTCAAATACTTTAAAGAATATTTTTTCATAGGTCATATTTTTATTCTTTATGTAACTAAAGGATTACACAGCCATTATGATGGTTATAATGGATGTTATACAGGAGTATAATAAAAATCCATCCATGTCTATATCCTAAATGACTATTTACAAAATTTTATCCTACATTTTTTTTTTATTTCAGCATATTATGGGGGTACAGATTTTAAGGTTTCAATAAATGCCCATTTCCCCCCCTCCCCCCAAAAGTCTGAGTCTCTTCTATCGAAATAGAGGAAAGATGCAAGGAGACGAGCCATACAGCGGACAAAGGCGGAAGGATGGTACAATGACCCGGGAGACTCACGGGGGAGGTTGCGGAGGAGAACTGGAGGTGAGACCACGGGACGGAGAAGCGGAGAAGGGTAGGTGAATTGCTGTTCCACTCCCAGCATCGGACTGCTAGTGGGCTCCCAGCTGGGTGGAGGACTGCGGACACCAGGCAGAGACTGGCGCGCCTGGCCAACGGTGAGCTGTAGCAGACGTGGCACAGATTCCAACTTCCTCGGGACAACCGTGGTGCACGGACCCGAGCGCGCGGGCAGGCCCATATTGCCTCCTCCTCCCTCACCAAACCCTACCCGCGGCTGCCCAGAGAGAAATACAGACATCAGCCGGAGGCCCTCCAGGAACGGGACCTTTCCCGTTTTGGGCCCGCCGGCCCTCCAGGTGTGCTGGGCACCGTGTTCCAAGGAAAATGGTGCTGACTCAGAGGCTGAGACATAGACCCAGCTTTGGGCCCTCCCTGTGGGTGATTAGGACCGGAAATCCTCTCCCTGGTGGGGATCGTTTGAACTCTGGGACCAGAGGTTCGGACCTGCAGACAGATCCCTGCACGAGGGTAAGCATTGCCCGGGACACAGAAGGGTTATTATGTGAACACTACTGAGGTCTGTGTGCTCCAGGGGCGGATCGGGCGTGCTCCTAGAGGGAACCCTCCCAGGAGGCGGCCGTGCGGCCAACCCGGTGGCGTTTCCCGTGCAGGGACCTCCACGGCAGCATCACAGTCGGGGAGGCCTGTGGTTGTGGTCTGGCCTGCTGGCGAGGCCAGTGGGTAGTTGCGGAAGTTGGGGAGGGGTGGAAAGAAGCGAGGCCTGCTGCGACTGCGGGTCTCAGACAGCCCACCCCACACCAGACTTGCTGCTTGAGGCGGGACATTCAGCCCTGCCTGACAGCTTTCCCTGGAAGCAGGGAGGACATGAACTTTGACCTGGTAATGGCCTACGGGCAGGCTTACCAACCCACTCCACCCAGAACGAGAGCTATAACAGGACTCAGATCAACCCATAGGCCTGTTCTCCAAGCAACGCCACCTACTGACAGGACGGCATTTGCACAGCTTTCCGGCACCCACTTGACTCAATATACAGGGAAGTTGTCCAATTTCACACAGGACCGCCTAATGTCTGAACTAAACAAGGTGTGTTAATTCCCCCAAACAATAACTAGAAAACAACTGATGACATGGGAGAAATCAGCGAAAGAAATCAGGAATATGAAGGAACCAACGAAAACAACCCCCAAAGAGGGCACGCCACTGGAAACGGCACCGACCAAAATCAGGCGCAACCATATGACAGAAGAGGGATTTCGATGTGGAACATAAGAACTCCCCAGCTGCAACAACAAATCAATAAACCAAACACCAAGAAACCACAAAAAGTATCCAGATATAGAAAGGGAATGAATTGAAGAAAAAAAAAGTGTAACCAACTCCTGGGAATGAGAATCAATTCAAGGAACTACAAAATACAGTGGAAAGTCTCAGAACAGGGAGATTGAAACAGAAGAAAGATTCAGAGCTTGAAGGATAACACCCTCCAATTAATAAATCAGTCACAGAATAGAGCGAGAACAAGAAAAAGAGCAAAGCTACAAGAGCTGTGGGATTATGTGAATGAAACCTAATGTGAGGGTCATAGGGTTACAGAAGGGGAAGAGAAACACCAAGGGTTGGAACAGCTTTGTTTGAAGACTATAATCAGAAGGAAAAATTTCCCAGGCTTGCTCAAAATCTTGTATACAAGTTCAAGAAGCTCAGGCTCCTGGGAGATTCAACGCAAAACAGGAACGTCACGACTGCGTCATTCAGACTAACCAAAGTATCAACTAAAGGAGGCCTTCTAAGAGCTGTAAGACAAAAGAAGCAATTAACATAACAAGGGAAGCCAATTTGAATAACATCCGATTCTCTAATGAGACTTTACAAGCAAGGAGGACTGGGGCCCCATTCTCAACTTTTTGAAACAAAACAATGGCCCAGCCTAGAATATTATTCCTGCAAACTAGTTCGAATATGAAGGAGAATAAAAATTTCAGCAAAGGCATAAGGTTCAGGAGAATTCACAAGACAAGACCAGCCCTACAGAAGTATTAAAACAGCGGTTTATGGGCCGGACATCTAATAATAACCACGATATAAAAACACCCACCAAAGATATTAAAGGCAGATCATTACAATGGCTCAAGCAGAATCATGCAACAACTCCAACAACAGTTTTAACAGATTTTTTATGACAGTAATTCCTTCCTTCAGTTCTCTTTTTTTATTAATGTGAATGTTTAAATATCCACTCAAGAGAAAAGCTGGTGAATGGTAATAATACAGGCCAAGTTTGCTGTCTTCGGGAACACATCTAAACTGCAAGGTTGTTTTATAGTTTGTACGTTGTGTTTCCAGGCAAATAGAAGCTGTTTGTGCTGTTGTGGCAGTTCTTAGATTTCAGCGATTTAGTTTTTAAACATACAAACGTGTAAAAATGTTTTGTTGTTGTGTATAGTATATAATGGGAGGGCACAGTCCAACAGAAGGAGAAACAATCTGTTAAATATATATGACAACTTAGGAACCAGTCATACAGCTTAACTTAACTGGAAGCTATTGTTGTGTTTTAATAGCAACTTTTTATGTGTGTTCAACACCCCCCATGACGGCACGAGCAGATCCCCAAAAACAGTAAATTAATAAAGAAATAAATGGATTAAACAAAATCTAGACAATTGGGTCTGCAGACATCTACAGAACATTACCAAAATCACTTGACATATACGTTCTTCTCATCAGCTCACGGGACATTCTTAGATTAACCATACCTAGGACACAAAGAAAATCTCAAGAATTTAAAAAAATAGAAATCATTACATGTTACCTTCTCAGATCAATTGTGAATAAAAATACAAATCAACCCTAAAGAAACTCCTTTCTACACAAAACGTGGGAATGAACAACTCCTACTTAATGATTCTTCGTAATGAGAAAATCAAGCGGGAAATAAGAAAAAGTTCTATGAAGAAAACGGACAACTGGAGAGGACAAGTTATAACTCTCTGGACACAGCTAAAGTGTTCTGAGAGGAAAGTTTATCTCCATAACGCCTATAAACAAAAGACAGAAGATGACAAATGAAATCTAATGAAACGATCAAAGAGGCTGGGAAAGAACAGACCCCCAAACCAGGCAGAGAGTGAATAACAAGATCAAATCAGAACTAAATGAACTGAAAACAGGGAAGCTATTCAGGAGATTAATAAAACAAAAATTGGTTCTCGAAAAATAACCAAATTGACAACCATTGGCTAGCTCACGAAAGCAGAAAACAGAAATCTCTAATAAGATCCATCAGGAATTAAAAAAAGGAGATATCAACAACTCGATCCCAAAGAGATACAAGATACAATTTATGGAATACTACAAAAATTTTATGCACACAACTGGAAAATGTGGGGGAAATGAAAATTTCTAGAAAACACAGCCCTAGCTCAACCAGGAGAATAAGATTCCTGAACAGCCAATCTCAACAGCGAAATAGAAAAAGCAATTAAAAATCTCCTAAAAAGAAAAGTCCCCTGTCAGTTTATTTGTTTTCACTCCTGAATTTTATTCCATACTTACTAGTTTTTGTTACTTAGTACCTTCTTGGCAGAACTATTCCACACATCGAGCAACGAACGGAAACTCCCCCGACACCTTTTATTGAAGCGATTTACTCTGATACAAAACAGGGAAAGATGAACAAAAAAAAGAAACTACAGACCAATATCCTAATGAATATAGTTGCAAAAATTTTCAACAAAATCAGCTAACGAATCCAGACACTTATCAAAAAAATAATTCCACACGACCAAGTGGCTTATCCCAGGGATGCAGGGATGGTTCAACATAGTAAATACTATAAATGCAATTCACCACATAAGACGAGCAAAAACAAAGACCACATGATTCTTTCACATAGATGAGGAAAAGCTTTTGACAAAATTCAACAACTTTCATGATACGAACACTTAAGAAGAATAGGCATAGAAGACATACCTAAAATGATACAAGCATATATGACCAGACCCATAGCCATATCATCTGAATGGGGGAAAGACTGAATCTTTCCCACTTAGAACTTGAACCAGCAAGGCTGCCCCGACTATCTCCACTTCTGGTTCAACATAGTGCTGGAAGTCTGGCTACCAGAATCAGACAGGAAAATGGAATCAAAGGTTCAGAAGGGGGCAGAAGAGATCAACACTTCACATGTTTGCTGATGATATGATATTGATATCTAGGAAAACCAAGATTCAACCAGAAATCCTGGAACTGATCACATGAATTTAGTAAAGCGTCAGGATACCAAATCAATACACAGAAAATCAGAGGCATTACCCCCCCCCCCCCCCCACCCCCCCCCTTATTGCACAACAATCTAATTGAGAACCAAATCAAGACTCGAATTCCCTTCACCAATGCAACAAAGAAATTAAAGTACCTAGGAATATAATTAACCCAAAGAGGTAAAAGACTCTCAGGAGAACATGAACACTGTGGAGAGTGGAAGGAAATAGCAGAGGAGTGTAAACAAGATGGAAATCATACCTATGTGTGGATCGGAGACTCAATATCATCCACACAATGTATTACACCCAAAACTGATCTACAGATTCAATGCAAATACCTATGTAAAATCCCATCAGCATTCCTTCACACGATATAGAAAAAATACTTTACGCTTCATATGGAAACAAAGAAGCCCGAATATCTCAAGAGCAATTCTAGGCAACAAAACAAAATGGGAGGCATTAATATGCCAGATATCTAACTATACTACAAGCTGTAGTAATTAAACAATCATGGTATTGGCACAAAAAACAGGAATATATTGACA